CCATACTTTCTTTTCCACAATCCGATCGAAGAATTTTTTTTTTCCCACTTGGAGGTGGAGAGTGTATGAACATTGCACTCAGGGTCAGACTTCCCTGCTCCGTGTGATGGATGCTGCGCGCAAGGACATGGCAGGGGATGCGTCATCGTGATGCAACAGAAAAACTCCAATCGTGACTTTGATTGGCAAGCACTCTTTCGTTGGTCTACGTGTCGCCTGACGTTGACGGGCAACTCTGCGCGGAGGCGAGTTACGGCTGGTCGTCATTTCGTGGATGGATGCAGGCTGGCCGAACGGAGGTAGGGAGGTCTGCGCCGCCGCGGGGGTGGTCACAGCTGACTCCAATCAAGGCCAATCAAAGCGGCTCCTTTCACGACCTTGAAATGCGGCGCTCCGGTGGGGCAAGGACATCGCGGAGTGCACGCAAACTTGTTTTCGACACGCTTTGCCCACGCGCGGGTGAAACAGCGGCGCGGTGAAGTGGGCACTTGGAAAATTCCCCACCGGCCCTGAATGTTTGTGCGCCTGAGCGGCAATCCGTCTTTGGTTCGTCTGCACGTGCCCTGGCAACTCTGCGCGGAGGCGAGCGACAGTTGATGAGAATTTCGTCGACGAGCGCAGGCTGGCAGAACCGAAAGAGAGGAGCCTGACTGGCTATCAGTCTTTGCTTCGTCTACATGTGCCCTGATACTGACGGGTGACGAGCCCGTTGTTGGTCCATCTGTGCTCTTCATGTGCGCAAAAAAATAAATAAATAAAAATTGAATGGGACAGATGGAAGGTTCTGATTACGGCTTGAGAAGGACTGCTTGAAACAGCTGAAGAATTTTCTTCACAAAGGGTAAAAAAAAATAAATAAAAAGATTCCAGAAGAAGTCATCATGGTCCTTTTTTCACATGCGGCGTCACACCGACGAAGCGAACACCGCCGCCGCGGCTCGCAGCCCCTCACCATGGAAACTGTGTTCCCTATCGTCATGACAACCGTCAACCGGGAAGAAGAGCACAAAGCCGTGAAAAGAGGGGGAAAGAAGAAAGGAGCGTCATCAAGGTTGACACTTCGATTCGACCCCCCCCACCACTCCTCATCTTCCTGAGCTCGTCTGATTTTAAGAATCCTCTCGGTCATTAGGGTGTAAAACTCTCAGCTCCCTCTCGGAGCGTCCGCTTTGTTTTCGAATTGAGACACAGTAGCTGCACCGTTCTCCTCATCCCGCTTTAGCTTTCATTCAAGCAACGAAGTCCCGACGGGCCAATCGTAGCGCAGCGCGTGGCTGAGATGACAGTGTGGATAGAGTTCAATTAAAAAAAAACAAACAGAGAAAGAAAAAGAAAAATACCCCGCTAAGTCTGTTTTTAGCATGCTAACGCCAGCTCGGCTTCTATTCCAAACTCGTGAAACAGCACAAGACAAAAGCCGAGCGCGCTCCCTCCCTTGTGCTCCGCTGATGCGAAATGCTATTCGTCTCCATTGTATTCCTTGGATCGGATTGTCCTGAAGTGTGCCCGCGGACGCACTAACGCACACACAGGCACATAATGACACCGCCACATGTCGCGAAGAAAACAGATTAGCCGGCCTTTAAATTCATTTAGTGACATAATCAAATGAATTGAGAGGAAACGTATTCATTGCTGCTTTGCGGCTTGCTTGGGGTTGGAAATGAGACCAAGATTTTTTTTCCGCCGATGTGCGAGCGGTCATTAGCGTCGCCTGCCGTTTCAAATCTCCATGGCGATGTCCTCCTGCACACCTTCTCCCCCTTCACCGCCGCATCCTGCATGCGCAGGTGCTGAAGATCAAAACGGCATGTCTCACGATCCGGTATCGATACGTCACCCGGCCATATCAGGGCACGTGAATGCAAACAACTGACTGGTCGCCATTTTAGATCAGTACACATCTAGACGAACAATGGACCGGTCTCCGGTGGTTATCAATTTCAAGATATTTTCTTCATTGAATTGCTGATTTTCTTCCAATATTTCAATAATTATCATTTGCCAAATACGGCGATGCCTGGAGATTTTTTTTTTTTTTTCCTCAAGATACAAGCTGTCACCTGGTTCAGCGGTCCCCAACCTTTTTTGCCCCACGGACCGGTTTAACGTCAGGAGAATTTTTTTCAGGGACCGGCCTTTAAGCTGCGGCGGATAAATGCAACAAAATAATATGATATGACCCGCATGAAAACTGTGCTATTTTCTCAACAATAATAAACACGAATCGTGACACGAGGAACGTCCTATCTGGCCGCAACACTCTCTGGTCGCCATGGTAATGTTTAAACGTGCCTTCAAAATAAGAGACGCCGCAAATACAAAGTGCATGAAAAATATGACTCACCATCACCGCTCCCGGGTTTCATTTTAGCGCTAACCTATCACGTGACCGAGAAGCGCGCCTTCACCTGCGTCAAGGGTGACACGCTGTCGACGGATGTAACAAAGAATCTGGTAATTTTTCAAAATAAAACATCTTGTGAATTCCGAAATAAATGACACGGAAGTAATGTCAGTTATTGATTCTTTCTGTGCGGCCCGGGGGTTGGGACGTGACTGCTTGATTTTTTGGGGGGGGGTCTTCAAAGCAAAAATTTGAGGTAAGAGTGTGCTACGGACCGCCATTGCTCGATGGCGGGAGCAAATTTGACAACGTCCCGCCCCCGACTATTCACATTGGTTTGTACTCAACCCTCGAGGTGAAATGGAAAAAACAAACAAACAACCAACCCCCCAAAAATTATTTTCCCTTGCAAAGATTGCGAGATAACGCAAATTTCTGTTGTTCTTTTCGTTTTTCTTCCATGTCACCTGAGGGCAGGCACGTCCACCTCCTGGCCTGGAGTGCCGGCCGCCCTCCTGCCTGTTTTCCGTCTCTCCCGGTTGCAACACACCTCATTCAGGCGATCAGCTCATCAGGCAGCTCTGAAGCGGCATTAGAACGATGCGGATGATTTGAATCAGGTGCGTTGCTCCTGGGAGAGCTGGAAAACAGGCAGGACGGCGGCCCGCGACGACCCACTTTGGACACCCCCCGCCCGAGGGGTTCCGTAGGTCTCCTTGCAACGGAAGCCACAAAATCAGTTGGTGGCGTTAATGTGCCTTGAAGGCACCAGGAAAGAAGAGCAAGGCCGGCCAATACGTTAGGTACACTTGTGTTTGGTGCTCACTTTTGAATTGTTTCCGCGTCGTGTGAGGAGCAAATGTTCCTGCGTGTTTTTCCACAGTACAACACAAATTGCAAATCATCTGTATGACATTTTTTTATTTGGGAATGGGCTGATCAAGATTCCTTGCATTTTCATTCATTTCAAGAGGCAAAGATGAAACGAGGTTCCGTTTTGGCAGTCTCACGGCACCACTGTATCGCCATGGTAACATAAGCCATACAGAAAAAAATGACAACAGGCATCGGATGCCATCTGGAAAAAAAACATTATTTTTCTTTTTCTTTCTTTTTTTATTGGTCAGCGCGACACTGCGCTTAAAGGGGAGTCTATTCAATTCGTATGCGCATCGAGACACAAGACGACGTGACACGCAAACGCACGGCACACGACGACGGATGTGCTTCTTTGTCATTATCAAAACAAGACATTCTTCATTCACGGTACATACATGTGTCATATCCACGGATATACAGAAGAGTTACAAAAACACACACCGAAAAAAACAAAAAAATCAAAACCAAAAAAATTTGGGACGGCGCTACATCGTGTACAAAGAGTACAACTGTGCTTCTCATTAAAAAAATGTCTACACGTGGATTGAAATCAACTCGTCAGAAACATAAGGCCACTATGGTCGACCGTGAGGAGGACTATTGGACACAACGTGGAACGCAGTCGTCAACAAGGGCTGCTTCGGACGCAGGTTACATCACAGCTGCATTGGCGGACGGGAGGCCTCGATGGACCGAGCGCACGAATGGACGCGAAGGCTGGAGTTGCACCCGCGCCGCTTGGATGCATATTTGGAGTTTCGAGTGTCCCGTGTGACTGTTTGCGGTGATGAGACAGAGGAAGCGACACGCAAATCGCATTCGTGTCACTACAACTGAACGCTCAAGTGTTTTCCCCCGACTTCATGTTCCGTACGTCACGAAATGACAATCGAGCAGACGTATTTCGCATTGAATCTATTTGGACTTCGAAGGGAGCGTATTGACGTGATATTTACATACGGCTTGAATATTTCGTTGGCATCATACGATGGGTATAAAAAGTCTGCACACCCGTGTAAAAATGCTAGATTTTTGTGGTGAAGAAAAAAAATGGACCCCCCCCCC